ATTACAACAATCAGCTGTACAACTTTGACCTTAATCAGTGATTTTTCCATCACAGTTGAACACCCTTTTTTTCCTCCCTCCGATCCTGGTAACCATTAATAGACTTTGATCTCTAGACATTTATTTGCCTTTTCTTCTCTTTTTATAAGTGAAGTCATACAATATTTATCCTTTTGTGATTGTCTTATTTTGTTCAGCATAATATCCTTTTTTCCCCAGTTACATATAAATTTCATTTTGTAAGTTTATTTTTATTATAAGAATGAACCTATCAGAAAAATTTTTAAGCTTTTTATTGTCATTTGGATGGAAGGTTTATATAGCAAATTGATTTTCCATTTACCAGTTCATGCAAGTTTTGTGATACTGAATGCAGTCCCATTTCCTTCTTATGTTTCCTGTTTCCATTCGTCCTTCTTTTCTATGTCTTCTTGCTTTTGAACTTTATCCCTGAACAAACAATGCCCTTTAGATGGAATGTGGCTCTTTGTTCTAAACCGTGCATACCTCCTAGGTGTGATTGTTCGTTCACCTTACAGACAGTGTCTGTTGTTTGGTTGAAAATGGAGCCACAAGGGTGAGTTCAGTTTCAGGTCTGAAGAGTATCTAAGGGCCTTAGTGTCAGGGGTTACCAATCTATATTTGATTGCTAAGTCTGTTTGTTTGAAGTTCCACATTTTTCTTGTACTCCTTCCAGGTCCACCTCTTGTGATCTCGGTTAGAGCAGTCAGCAGTGTTAGCTGGCCACCATCTAGTTCTAGCCTCAGGGTCATTGAAATTGGGATTTGTGTGGTCCATTAGCCCTTTGGGTTGTTTCCTTTTGTCCTTTTCTTCACTCTGCCTTGCTCCAAATGCAGACGTCATTGTTGTTGGTTTTGTTGTATGTTGTCAAGTGGATTCCTACTCACAGTAATCCTGTATAGGGTTTCTGAGAGCGTCTGGTGGGTTTGAACTGCTGACCTTGTGGCTAGCAGTCCAGAGTTTTTCCTACGGTGCCACACCAGGACTGTGGATGTGGATAATCATCATCTTGTCTTCAAGCTGCATCCATACTATAGCATGTATCAAGACTTAATTTCTCTTACTATTATTCTATTATATGCAAACACCAGTGACTTCAGTATAAAATACCAGCAGGTTCATCCAATGTGGACAGGTTTTAGTACAGCTTTCAGACTAAGACTAGGGAGAAAGACCTGGCTATCTACTTTAAAAAATTGGACAATGAAGACTCTGTGGATGACAGCAGTTTCATGCCTGATACAGTGCTGGGAGATGAGTACCTCAGTGGATTGAGTATGCCATCAATTGCGAAGATGGCCCAGAACTGGGCAGTGTTTCTTTCTGTTGTATATGGGGTGACCATGAGTTAGGGCTGACTTGATGGTAACTAATGACGACAACCTTGATCCAGGTTAGTGGACCAAGTTTGATTAGTTTCATTGATAAGGACTCATTTGGTAGTGTAATGGTTACGAGTCAGGCTGCCAACCTTAAGATCAGCAGTTCGAAACTACCAGCTGTTCTGTGGGAGAAAGATGAAGCGTTCTGCTCCCGTAAAGATTTACAGCCTCGGAAACCCTGTGCAGGGTCACTATGAGTCGGAACCGATTCCACGGTACTAAGCAACAACAACATTCTATTTAGAAGTCTGTCGTTTTGGCCACATGTGGGATGTGCTGCCTCCGTTCAGCTGTTGTAATTTTTGTGGCTTGTTTTCTCAATCAAGCCTGGTTTTGAAGAGTGATGATACTTAGACAGCTGCTTGACTCACAGGAAGGACTAATCTAGTTTGGGTGAGGATTCTCAGCTCAGGAACTTGGATCTTCTGAATAGGAGCAAAGAACACAGGATTTCACCTTTTTAAGAGATAGTGCTTATTTTCTGAACTATTTTACTGGTAATTGTGAGTAGAATTTAGGAGTACTAAGCAGCAGTTTCTGAGATCTTAAAAGTTGCCAATGACTGCGAAGGCTTTGACCTCCTTAGCCTTAAACTTATAAGCCATTTTGTTTGTTCACATCTTTGGTTAGAGCCAGGTTAGAAATTTTCCAACTGCAGTGTGTCATAAATATGCGCTCTTCTTATTTAAGGCATTTCTGTTTTGAAAGCATAAGTACTTCTGCTATTATCTGTGGATTTCGTTCTTTTTTGAGGGATGTTTAAGACATTTTTAATGTCAATATATATTTAAAACAGACGTACCAATTCAGTTCACCCACATACCCAGGGCCTTTCAAGAACCAGGTTGCAATGAGTAGGTGAGGCATAGGGAGCCAGGTGGTTCTTGTGGCCTCTTAAAGGGTTGAGGACGAGTCGCTTATGTCTGTTGGGAACTAGGGGAAATAAAGCATTTTAGCTGCCACTCCTCTTAACTATCAGTGTGCTTATTAGTTTATGAATTTGTTTTTTCAGCAAATTTTTTTTTTTTTTTTAGAAAATGTTGACAAAATGGAAGCTTACTCTGCAAATTGAATGGCTGCCTATTTCTTGTTGGAGGTCTACTTGTGATGGGGTGGGCACCCAGGTTCCTTGGAATCCTCATAGCGGGCAAACCATTGGCTCCCATGGGGTCTCTGGTATGGGGGTGACTTGGTGGTGAACAGACTTCCTGGACTCTGTACACAAGCAACCTGGGCGGTTTTTTTGGAGCATGTGCAGGTGTTCCAGGTCTGACTGTCTTGAACTTTTGTCTAATTCTGGACTAAAACCAAACGTGTTTACACAGGGGCTGTGACAGCCTGCATTCCAGAGCCGACTTCTGAATGCACTAGTAGTTGAGAGACTTACAGTTTTTTATTTTATTACGAAGTTTACTTGAATCTTGCCTTTTTCCTGAAAGACTTTGAGATGACTTAAAAGAAAAGGCACTTATGGCATGATTAATAAAATGGGATACTGAAATGAAAGGCAGGAAAACTCAGTCAAGATTAACATGGGTGCCACAATGATCAAAATAGGTCCCAGCTCGTCACCAGCCAGAGCAGACAGGAGTGCTTAGTAAAGGGAGGCCAGGAGAAGGAATCCGTGTCAGACCCTCTGGGGACTGTGTCTCACTTGATCCCATACACAGTCCTGTGAGGGGGATAGTCTCATCCCCATGACACAGAGGATGAAACAGAAAGTGTTGTGAAGCCACTCCAGGCAAACTGGCCTCAAAGCTGTTTATTGATTCATTACCTCACACCAGGTTATTATCAAAAAGAGGAAAGATTTCATTTCTTTGGGGGAGTATTTAAAAAAAAATTTTTTTTTTTCCAAATGGTTTATTTGCAGCAGCAAGTATATTGTAGCAAAGTTGTCATTATAACTGCATTGTACTGTAGCAAACAGATTGAAATTTAAAAGTAAACACACTAACAATTTATGTTTATGTTAAAACATGAAAATATAATTCTTAAGTAATTGAAATTAAACCACATGCTCATATTTTTAATTGGTCGCAAGTCTTCCACATTTTTTTTTTTTTTAAAGTACTGCAAATTTAGAGGCAGATAACATGGTAGGGTGAATTATTCTGTTCAGTAAGTTATAGGATTAATAACAAATATCCAGTAGCCAATATGAGGCATGTGACTTCCAATAAAACTATACCAAAGCAAATCAGAGATTTATTTGAAAAGACATAAAGGGAAATTCTCCCATGATATAAGTGTCTACCCATTAGCTGTACCATTTTTGTCCCATGGCCTACCACACCTATATGGTCTAGCTTCTGCTTAATTCACATTTACCTAGGGCACCTTCTCTTTGTCTGGATCTACCGTCCTTGACATTCACCTAAGATCTTCACACATGCTTTTCCACGTTCTTTGCAGGAATGGCAGTATCATTTAGGTTTCAGCTTCAGTGGAATCTCAGAGACCTTCCCCTAAGACGCTCTCTAACTCTTTGCGCTGATAGTTTCCTTTGTTTCTGTCTGTAATTAGAAGTTATTATCTTGTTTATTTGCTACAATTAAGATGGATGAGTTGCATCTCTTTGAAAATGGTCATTTCCTTACCACCCTCATTTTCAATTCAGCCACTCCCAAGTGTCTCAACATCCATACTTTTGAGCTGGTAGTTACAGGATTTGGAAGATATTGTTGTTAGGTGCTGTTGAGTAGGTACCAACTCATAGTGACTTTATGCATAACAAAACGAAACACTGAAGAACAGTGTTTTTGTTAATAAAAATTTCCCAGATTTTTTTTTCAATGTACATATCAACCGTTGTAATAATTTGCTTTTTCTCACACACAAAAAAGGGTCATACTTGACACATTTTGTTATCTTGGGCAGCTTCCCATGACAGTGGGATGGATCCAGTCCGTTTTCAGTGGCTGCATCATATCACTTCATTTGCTGTGTAATATTTTGGCCAGTCTCTTATTGATCAATACTTGAATGATTTCCAGACATTTTTCCCCCTTGTTGCATAAATGCTGCAGTGAATCTGTTTATCTGAAAACCACTGTAAGTATCTATGAAATCAGTTGTTACAAGTGGAATTACTAGGTCAAAGGGTGTGTGTTCACATTTAAATTTTTAACAAAAACTTCAGCTGGCCCTCCTGTTAAAGGAAGAGATTGTATCACATTTATTATGCCAACAACAGCCTGTATTCTGCGGGGTGCTGAAGAAACAGGTAAAAAGGATGCGGGAGAGTTTGTTGCCCTCCAGGAATTTCCCTCTATGCTGTGTACCTTATCCTAGGCAATGTCTGGGGTGTCGACTGGGTGGGTGGGTAAGTGGGTGGATTTAATTCAGCATTTCAAGCTTGCCTTGCAAACACTGTGGCTGGTGTCTGGGGTTCATTGTATTGACTCTCTCTGATAATGGATGTAATTTCCTTAGGGCAGAGACCTCATCCTACATTACTTGCCCTATATCTTGCATATCTTCATTGCTTTGTGAAAACGTTGTAATTATAACATGTCAGGCAGTATTTGAGGATCTAATAGAGGTGTTCTCTTTTTGGGGTGTGTGAAGAATGATTAACTTTGGCATTCTATACAGGTCATGGAATACCAGCCCGGAGGGGACTTGCTGTCACTCTTGAATAGATATGAGGACCAACTAGATGAAAATATGATTCAGTTTTATCTAGCCGAACTGATTCTGGCTGTTCACAGTGTTCATCAGATGGGATATGTACATCGGTAAGTATAACTCTGGTGGCACGTGAAGAATTTGTATCACTTAAGAGTTTATACAGAGAGTGAATGGATAAATGATTTCAGCATCAAAATACTGTTCCATCCAATTTTTATCTAGTGTTACCTGTAGCTGGGTGAAAGTCAGCTTTCCAGAATGGCAGACACTTCTGCTTGCCTCTTCAGCAGTAGGTTTAGAATGGGAATGTTGTGACGTTTGCTAGTTAGAGCAGTTATTGTAGCTACCAAGGCACCCGCATGGGTTCTTTGGTTTATATGGTTGAAAACTGGGATTTGGTTTGCAGAAGGAATTGGCATATCATGTAGTAAAGACCTTGGAGTTATATCTCTAAGTATACCTGTGAGTAATTTATTTACAAAGGAGTTCTACAAAATCCTCAGTCAGTTATTATTTTTACCAAGCTTTCATACTGCTTTGAACCATTTCAGCCCTGGCCAAAAACATAAAACCAGAACAGACCCTGTTTTGTTGTCTTCTAAATTTGGATTACTCAGAACTGAAACAGGACAGGAAAAATTATGGATTCAAGCCCTGGAATGAATGGGAAACTTGGGAGAGGCATAATGACCCCTTTCAGGAGCCTGATGTGGGAGATGGGAGTTTTGCCAGCACTCTGGAAGCGACGCAGATTCATAGCTGCATTGTCGGCTGCCATCTTTGTTTTCCACTCCGTTGGTGTAGGCTGCCCTTGTTTTCTAAGAGGGAGATTATGTCTCTAGCAGGGCTTTGATTTTGACTCATGATTTTCCTCTTCCAGTTAGTGTTCACCCACATTTTAAAAGTTTGGGTCTGTTGTAGTGATGTTTCATCAGCCATGACTGAACTGGTCAGAACGGGTTCAAAGCCCTGGTTTCTGCACGTCCTTACTCATCCGATGTTTATGTACATCTTAGAAGGTTGTGGTAACGGAATGATGGTTAGATCAGCAATCATGGAATTTAGATTTCAGTCTTAGCTTTTTATTGACTAGCTACATTCTTTTGACTTTAATTTCCACAATGTCTAATGTGTGTCTCTACAAGAAATAATCCATCTAATAACATGTGTTTATTTTATCATTATTTATTTTTACTTAAAATTTGTTCCGTAAAACAGATGAAAATCAATAGCGAGGTATATGTACCAGAATATATGCAATAAGATTCTTAACAGAATTGATATTCTAGATCGACAGTTGCTTGTTGATTAGAAGAGAGAAAACAACACTCATTTGTGACCCCAATTTTCTTGCAGAGATATCAAGCCTGAGAATATTCTTATTGACCGAACAGGGCATATTAAACTGGTGGATTTTGGATCTGCGGCTAAAATGAATTCAAATAAAATGGTAATGAAATGGAAAGAGATCACCTAATAGTTGTTGTGTTGCGTTCCCATCAGTTTGTGAAACACTGTGTAAAGCTGAGAGCCATGTTAGAGCCTTCTTCTGCCAGTGGCTGAAATGACTCCATGAGTGAGAGACACAGAGCTGTTTTTCAGACTTACTTAACCTTGGAACCCTTTTATGCATCCTGTCTGTTAATACTGTACAGAACATTTCTAAGAATACTCTTAACAGTATGGTAAAAAAGAAAGAAGAAATACTTACTTTGTTTTTCTTTTCATTTTCCTTGTTCGTTCTAGGCTGTCTTCTCTGATATTACGTTACACTTTAAAATATGTTGATGGAATCTAACCATCTTTATCTCAAATCCTGTTTCCCATGTAGCAAAATTGAAACTAGTTACCAGAATATTTCAATGGAGTGCCCTTAAGTATTAAGAACCAAGTGGTCCAAATGTCCTATTTAAGTCTTTGTTGTTGTTGTTGTTAAATGCCGTCGAGTCGGTTCCGACCCATAGCGACCCTGAACAGGCTTTCCGAGGGTGTAAATCCTTACGGGAGTAGAAAGCCTCATCTTTCTCCCGCGGAGCGGCTGGTAGTTTCGAACCGCTGACCTTAAGATCTGGGGTAAAAATTAAGCCACAGTCCCCATGCTGATTACAAAGGTGGGATGGTAGCTGTTGAGCTCAAGAGTAAGAATACTGTAGGACAAAGATGACCAAGTGAACAAAAAAATCTTTCAAGATTTTAAGTCATAATTTTACAATTGAGCCGCTCGGTGACCTAGACATACCTTTAGGAACTTGGCCTTTTGGCTTTTCTCTAAAAAATACCGATTTGAATTCAGATGCATAGATTAAGAGACTGGAGAAGCTGTCTTTCTAGAGCCGAGGGTTATGTCCTTTCTGTATATGAAGTTTCCTTTTTTCTGAAGTTATTTGAAGGAAAAGAAGGATATTGCTAGGTTTGTGTCTGGTAGTAGCATTAACTCTGTACTCTAATGTGTGACCTCCGTGCTCTGCAGATTTGAGACCTACTTGAGGTAATTTACTTGGTATTCAGGCTGCCTATGTGGTCCAAAGTCAGGGTTTCTCAACTGTAGCATTATTATTATTATTACTTTGCTGGTTATGATCTTAGACTCTGTTGAATTAGTCATTAAAAATTCTATTACTGTATCAGAAATTTTATATTTTAATGATTGTGTTCAATTCAGAAACAGGATGTGGAATACAACATAAGAAAAACATTAACAGTGCAGTTTTGTCACCTGGAATTCCAAAACTTAAACAATAGATTGGTGATATAAATCGACCCATGCATCTAAGTGCCAAGAATACTCTGTTCCCCCAGTGTGACAACCAAAAATGTTCCCCCTGGGGACATTGTCTTCTTTCCCTCTTCTAAGTGATAGCTATTGCAATAGATTAAGAAGCATCAGAAAGCTAAGTAATTAACTTATGATGGTGGTGATGGTGTACTGTGGAGTCGGTTCCAACTCATAGCAACCCTGCTTGGGGTTTCCGTGGCTGTAAATCTTTTTTTTTTTAATTTATCTATTGTAAACTGAGTGATAGTTTACATGGGAGAGCATTGGATGTACACCATTGTTTCATTGCAATGATTACAATCTCTTCTGTGTGTCTTTATTCAACAGTATTTGCTTCCATTCCCTCTGGCTTTTTGGGGGGCTGAGGTGGGATGTACACAAAAACACTCAGGAATATATAATCATTCAAACAGCTAAAGGGCACATTCGGCAAGCCTGCCTCCTGGCCGCCAGCAGCTGCTAGTCCCTCTCTTTCCTTGAGTCCAGAGTCCTCAGCTGTTCCCTTTCTCCATTTCCTCATCTCTGCCTCCATCTCTGGTGTCACTGCTTCTCTGGATAGGGTCCCACATTTCCCTCGTACTCTTCTCCCTTGATGGTCCTAGGGTCCTCTGCTTCTGGACTGTAAGATTAATCCCCTGTTTTTGTAATAAAACCTCTATCTTTACAATTGTGACAGTCGCAATTAGTCATGATAACAATTACTCACTATTGAATCACAAGAATCCTATCCCCATCTCCTTTCACCGGACCTGTCTAGATAAGATGAAAACTATTCAGTGGGGACTCTACCTCCTCACCTTCCCACTCTTAAACTAAACTCCCTTTTGAAAACTTGTAAGCCAGTCACTTAACCTCTGTCACCTCTATCGGCCCCTCATTTCAGGTGGTCGAAGCTGTAAATCTTTGCAGGAGCAAAAAGCTTCATCTTTCTTCTGCAGAATGGCTGGTAGTTTCGAACTGCTGACTCGTAACCACTACATATAGGCTGTTATATGTATTTGCAGTAAGGAAACTTATTCAATAAACTAGATTAAGATCCAAAGACACAGTTTGGTAAATAATTGGGATTAAGAGTAAGCCTGGCTTGGTCTCCTTGTTTTGGAATTCACTCTTTTCACAGCCCTCAGTGGAGAGACTGGCTTCCTGTACATCTCAGTTTGCTGTTTTTCCAGGATTCCAACTGCCCTTTTCAGTTCTTTAATCCTAGCAACCTTCACTGCAGGCAGGGAGCCTCCCGGGGACACTCGGATTTATTTGTAGCTGAAGGCTCAATCCTTGATTGTTTGCATCCTGGAGATGTGGCACGTGTCAGTAGCACACACTTGAGAACATCACACCTCCACTTCCCTTGGGGAGAGAATCGCCTCATTAGAATTTTGTGCTTTTTAGTTCAGAATGTGGCTAAGGAAATGAGAAAAACTTTTCACCATTGACATTTCTGTGATTTAAGACAAATTGTGCCAATGTGTAGACTTGAATCTCTAACCTTTCAGTTAGTAATCAAGGGCACTAACTTGTTTGCACCACTCCAGGATTCTTTTGCATCATAATACCAATAATCTGCACTCTAATGTGAAGTGTGGATTTATAATTAAAATTAATGTTGTAATATTTTATATCAATGACGGTGGGTTAAACATAGGCTTTCTTTAATAGACTGTTTTGCAGTTCTAATGTAGGTTCTGTTTTCTGTTAATATACAAGGGTAAATAAAAAGGTATTGCTACTTGGGTTCCCGTTCATACATGGTGGTTGGTGGTTATTGTGCTGTGGATCTGACTTACAGCAACCGTGTAGAGGGTAAGGTTTCTGAGGCTGCAAATCTTTACAGGAGCAAAACCCCTCATTTTTTACCCTCAAGGAGCTACTGGTAGATTAGAATCACTAACCTTGCAGTTAGCAGCCCATCTCGTAATGCACTACATTACCAGGGCTCCTGGTAATTTATATGTGGATGGGTTTATATATTTTTAAAATGTTTTAAAACATGTCTCTGTGATCAAGTTGTCTCCTGTCAAATTCTCTCAGTAATACAAGAGGGCATTAAAAAGTTCATGGAAAGATTGCATTATTTTTTCATTCTATTTTTCCATGTACTTCCCTGCCTCCCCCCATACTTTTTGAAGCCATTTCAAACACTTATCTTAGTCTCGTTAGAATGCATTAAAAAAATGTATAGTTTCCAGGGAGATTTGCTGGGCCAGTTGAATTCAAGGTAGAGAGATCAACCCAGAAGGGTATAATGACTATGTTTTGAGATTCCAAAGGAATTACCTTGATAGAGTTTTTTGAGGAACATAAGAAGTTTTTTTCTGAAAAATGAAAAATGCCAGGAAAGTTGTGCCAAGGAATTTTTTGCCATCATAGTAATGCAGCTGTTCATACTTCAAGGGTAGCAAGGACTGTTATATGAGGATTGTGTTGGGAAACCTTACCCCATCCACTCTAAAGCCCTGTTCTTGCCCCTTCAGACTTCTTTTTTTCCAAAACTCAAAGCACATTGAAAGGAACATGATTAGAGTCCCTTGAGGATGCCAAAACTTCTGTTTTAACATGGTACAAATAAGAGTATAGAAGCTTTCAGGGAATGGTTAGAAACTTGGAAACAGTGTCTTCAGAGTTATGTTGGCTTAGATGGAGAAAAAGTAGCTTCACATTTTGATATTTTTGTTCAATAAAGGTTTCTATGATTTTGTAACAGTGCTTTTTTACTTACCCTTATATATACACATATGAATTACTCTGTGGAATGTAGAGAGTAATTCTACAAAATTCATCTTGTTTTCCTACCATCCCCAAATATTATCTGTGTATTTTGGATATCTGTGAATCATTGGTCTGTTGCGTTTTCTGCCTTCCGTTGAATATGTTTCAAGCTTCTTATTTGGGGAGAGGTTCTGGAATATTTTCATTCGTAAACACTGAGTTCTAATGATCACTGCCTAGAGAGAATTGTGGTTGAGCCAAAACATGTTGTGACCTACTGTATTAGTTAGGTTCCCACTGTGCCTTGAAGGGAGTGGGAAGCATGAGTCAAAATCTGAAATAGCAAAGAACTAACAGTTTCAACCTCTCTCATTTGGTTCTCAGATAATGGTTGTGAGGAGGTTGTAAGCAGAGAGTGTTAGAGTGATGTGAAGCGATAACTAGCCCATTTGGCTGCTGGGAACCCGTAGATGGAGATGGACAGCCCTTTTTAGGTTTACGTACGGAGTATTTTCCCTTTTGGTACTTTCTAATATAAACTAATAATAGAATTTGGAAGATTAAATGATTAAACATACATTTGTGTAATCACATATCTGTTATAGGGCAAAAAACAGTGGGAGAGTTGTCTGACTCTGTTAAGTCTTATCATGAATTTGAAAACAAGGCATGTGACAATTTTTTCTATTCGGTTATATCACTCTGCTGTACCTGACCCATCAAATTCCTGTCAATTTTGGTTGTGAGTAATTAGCCATGTGAGCTACAAACAAGGAATACTGAGTATTTCTGACCAGTATAGTATGGTGATAACATAGCATGCAACAAGTACAAATAGTGCATATTTAATAATTATCCTTTGAAGTGATTGGAATGAATGGTAACCATTTAACCAACAACATAGTAGCATTATCACCATATACTCAAACCATTCTTCATTCTTCTTGGATCAACTATCAACGCTCGTGGAAGCAGCAGTCAAGAGATCAGACGACGTATTGCATTGGGCAAATCTGCTGTACAGGAACTTTTTAAAGTGTTGAAGAGCAGAGATGTCAGCTTGAGGACTAAGGTGCGCCTGACCCAAGCCATGATATTTTCAATAACCTCATATGGATGCGAAAGCTGGACAGTGAATAAGGAAGACCATAGAAGAATTGATGCCTTTGAGTTGTGGTGTTGGAGGAGAATACTGAAAGTGCCACAGACTGCCAAAAGAACCAATAGATCTGTTTTGGAAGAAGTGCAGCCAGAGTGCTCCTTGGAGGCCAGGATGGCTAAGCTTCGTCTCTCATACTTTGGACATATTGTCAGGAGAGAACAGTCGCTGGAGAAGGATGTCATGCTGGGTAAGATGGAGGGTCAGAGAAAAAGAGGAAGACCCCCAGAGAGATGGATCGGCCAGGTGGCATCATTGATGGTGTCAAGTGTGGCAGCGGTGGTGGGGTTGGCGCAGGATTGGACATTGTGTCATTCTGCTGTGCATGGGGTCGCTATGAGTCGGTTCTGACTCGGTGGCACCTAACAACAACAACAACAACAATCAAAGCAAAATTTTACAGTTTTGAAACTTTGGTGATTTAAAATATTTCTAAGTTCATTGTCAGTATTGAAGGTTTTTACTGAAACCCTATAGTTGAATCATAATCCTATAATGAATTCAGTAACATTTAGAAACTTGTTTAAGGACAGAAGTCTCGACTCAGACTTCCTGAGGCTCTCTCTTGAGTTAAACTGCTATACTCTTTCTTGACGTGAAGGCATTCTGGTTCTACCTTAGACCAGTTTTCCCCACTTTGTCTCTACTTTTCTCCTACAACATAGGTGTACTTGTGTGCTTCTTGGATGGCATGAGCAACTGGCTTTCCCAAGTAGAAATCTTATTCAATGAGGACTTTTTTTCCTGAGTGGACATAATACCTAGTTAATGAATGAGTGGTTTCAAGAGTAACAGTATTACAGTGCTTTTTAAATTTATTTTTATTTTTTAAGTTTTTATTGTGAATTGAGTAATCATTTACACGGGAGAATATCGGTTTTATACTCAACGTTTCATTGCAATGATTACAGTCTCCTCCGTGCCTCATCGTTCAACAGTATTTGCTTATAGTCCCTCTGCTTTTTTTGGGGGTGGTGGGTGGGGTGGTGATGTACACAAAAACATGGAGGACTATTTAATTATTTAATCAACCAAAGGGCACATTTTGCAAGCCTGTCTCCTGGCTGCCAGCACACAGCCTTTCTCTTTCCATGAGTCTAGAGTCCTCACCTGCTCCCTCTCTCTATGTCCTCATGTCTGCCTCCATCTCTGGTGTCACTGCTTCTCTGGATAGGATCCCACATTCCACTCATGCTCTTCTCCTTTGATGGTCTTAGGGCCATCTGTTCCTGGACTGTAAGATTAACTAATGCCCCCTTTTTCTTACAAAACTTCTACCTTTACTGTTGTAACAGTTGCAATTAGTCATGATAACAATTACTAATGAATCATAAGAATCTTATCCCCATATCTTTTCACCAGATCCTTCTAGACAAGGTGAGAAGGTGAGATCTATTCAGTAGGAATTTTACTGTCTCCCGCATACTCTTAAACTAATCTCCCTCTTGAAAACTTGTAAGCCAGTCACTTCGTGCCTTTAGAGCCCCCCCCCCCCCCCCGCCATTTTAGGTAGCCAATGTGTAAGTTGTCCATCCCTATCAACCCCATTACACTGCTTTTTGGGCATAGATTTGGGAAAGCCTGTACCAGAGTGTGAATCTTAGAAAGAGGTGAAGAGAGAAGGAGTAGAAAGAATGGGTTCATTTTCTATGACCAGGGAGTCTTGGAGTAGAACTATCAACAAAATTAAGGTTATAGTCTGGGAGAGTGTGATCTTCATCACTGGAAATAGAAGGTCTTGTATTGTCCTCTTTAGACATTCATTTTCCTCTCAGTCCTCAATCATATGAAAGCAAAACAAATTTTATTTTCTTGATCCAAGTCAGCCTTGAAAGTGTTGGGCCTACTTATAAAAATCTCACAGCTCACTCGGGAACATTCTTCCTTTACTAGGGAGAAAGCTATTTTGGACAATTTAACAACTGATCTGAGGGAGATCCCTTTACAATATAGAGTTCATGGACAACTCACCAACACAGTATATGACTAATGTTAGGCTCTCACTCTGATTTGATGGCGTAGATTAGAGAGGTGATCCTTGGATTTCAAGTTTTATATCTTAGTGAAACTTTAAAACATTATTGAGGACAGATAGGGGTTGTCAACTTTTACTAGGTTGCCTAGGAAGGTTGGGGATGTGTTGGGGGCGGAAGACCCACTTCTGTCAGCACCATCTGAAGAAGCCAATACTGAAACAGCTATAAAGACAAATTCTCAGAAAAAAAAGGACAGCCCTTTAAAAGGCATGCATTTAACTTTATCAAAAGATCTGTATTGTCCTAATCTCCTTTGCCAAGGTCAGCTACTCAGTACCATTGGCCTGCAGGGACCTGGGTTTCTGAACAGTGGGGAGAGATCACAGGACCAGGGTCTAGGAAAATGAACTCATTAACTTTTGGCTGTTGGTGGAAGTTATTTATCATGTTGTGCCCTGTCAGTGGGCAAGTTAAGTAGGAATGTTGATTCTAAATGCAGTTTTCTAAGATTTTTAATTGGAGATAGGACACATATTTGTAATATTATGTTGCTAGCTTGCTGCCAGTTTTTAATTAATGGGAGGTTGATCTTCTGGATTCATCATTAGGATTTATTATAATTTCACTATTCTCATCAGCTAGAGATGTTGCATCATATCAGTAACTTGTATTAGAGCAGCCAATTTCCACTTCAGGTATATACCCAGCTTTTGTTTGTGTTACCAAAGGGTGAGCTCATCAGCACCTCTTGCCCTTTGCCTTTGGATTAGATTATGTGCTGGTTTATTTTTATTTTTTGAACTAGTAAATCGTTTGCATTTCCTGATGGTGTGCCACTTGATGTAAGGTTTAAGTACCTGGGAGAATAGTAATCAGTAACAAATTAGCTTCTGTCTGAAATGTGACTGTTGGCAGTGTACTTGAGGATAATTGAAAGTCTGCATTCATTTTGCTTGTGGGTTTCTAGGTGAATGCCAAACTCCCAATTGGGACTCCCGATTACATGGCCCCTGAAGTGTTGACCGTGATGAATGGGGATGGCAAAGGTGTCTATGGCCTGGAGTGCGATTGGTGGTCCGTGGGTGTGATTGCTTACGAGATGGTTTATGGGCGATCACCATTTACTGAGGGTACCTCAGCCAGAACCTTCAGTAACATCATGAATTTCCAGGTAACCATTATTAGTTGGTTTTAAAGTAATACTGTCAAATGTCTGTTAGAAATTGTGCTAATAAAACTTGATTTATAAGTTAAAATAATAATAGCAAGGACTAATACTAGTGTTGTTAAGTGCCATCAGTAGAGACCCTGTGTAGGGTTTCTAAGGAGCAGTTGGTAGGCTTGAATTGTTGGTCTTGTGGTTAGGGGTCCAATGCTTACCCTATATTGCCACACCAGGATTCCAGTACTTTAACAGTACGTAGTGGTTACTTTGTGCCAAAATACGACCGGGAAAGAATTACCTCCACAAAGTAGAGTTGACCTTAATGATGTGGATGGAATTAAGCTTTCAAGATCTTTTGTGGCACAATTCAAATGAGAAGAAATAGTTGAAAATGTCTGTTAATCAGAATATAGAATGTATGAACATGGATCTAGGCAAATTGGAAGTCATCAAAAATGAAATGAAATAAATAAATATTGATATCCTAAGCATTGTTGTTGTTGTGCCGTCAAGTCAGTTCCTACTTAAAGTGACCCTTTAAATATA